TATAGATACTTCCAGTTCTTATCTCTGTTACTGAACATATAGATACTTCCAGTTCTTATCTCTGTTACTGAACGTATAGATACTTCCAGTTCTTATCTCTGTTACTAAACATATAGATACTTCCAGTTCTATCTCTGTTACTAACGTATAGATACTTCCAGTTCTTATCTCTGTTACTGAACATATAGATACTTCCAGTTCTATCTCTGTTACTAAACGTATAGATACTTCCAGTTACTATCTCTGTTACTAAACATATAGATACTTCCAGTTACTATCTCTGTTACTAAGCAGAGATAGTAACTGGAAGTATCTATATGTTCAGTAACAGAGATAGAACTGGAAGTATCTATATGTTCAGTAACAGAGATAGAACTGGAAGTATCTATATGTGGGATTGTTACAGCAGGATAGCAAACATTGTATTTTTATCTTATCTTACTTGATTGATTTCTGGTGATTGAGCAGGTTTTCTTTAATCCATCATACAGCTTTCACAGTCTGCTGAACCTATAGTGTGTAATGCCATGTTTTGATGGTATCACGGCAATAAGGGTGTGTTATATACAGCTTTCACAGTCTGCTACACCTATAGTGTGTAATGGCATGTTTTGATGGTATCACAGCAAGAATGGTGTGTTATATACAGCTCTCACAGTGTATTTGTATAACTTTGTCTTTGGTTTGAAGAGTACTTGTTACGTCTGTTAGTAGCAATATGAATAGCTTCTATTATAACAGATTATTTGTATAACCCTGTATTTGGTTTCAAGAATACTTGTTACCTCCATTAGTAGCAGCATGAATAGCTTCTATTATTATAACCAGTTATTTGTATAACCCTGTATTTGGTTTCAAGAATACTTGTTACCTCTGTTAATAGCTGCATGAATAGCTTCTATTATTATAACCAGTTATTTGTATAACCCTGTATTTGGTTTCAAGAATACTTGTTACCTCTGTTAGTAACAGCATGAATAGCTTCTATTATTATAACAGTTTATTTGTATAACCATGTATTTGGTTTCAAGAATAGTTGTTACCTCCATTAGTAGCAGCATGAATAGCTTCTATTATTATAACAGTTTATTTGTATAACCATGTATTTGATTTCCTAATGAGGAAAGCAGGTGCAAGTTGAAAAATCTTCTTCCTTTTTTAGTAACAGAGATAGGAACTGGAAATATCTATACGTTCAGTAACAGAGATAGGAACTGGAAATATCTATACGTTCAGTAACAGAGATAGTAATTGGAAGTATCTATATGTTTAGTAACAGAGATAGGAACTGGAAATATCTATACGTTCAGTAACAGAGATAAGAACTGGAAGTATCTATATGTTTAAGTGTGCAGTGCAACAATGTTTCAAAGTTCTGTACTGTTCAATTGTCTATAAATTTATAAAATTTAGGATGTCATTTCCAGAACATTTGACTGTTTTTCTTCAATGTATCAAGTTTAATTCATTTATCATTAATTACTGACTCATAATATTCTCTCTAATAAAGGGAAATAAGGTCTTACCAATGATTAAGAATACAATATTGATAACAATTATGATGAAAAGGATGGTGAAGATTTGGTGATATTTCAATGTATGTAGCACAGGCAAAGAACCACGGAAACCAGCTTTGTGGTAATCTTCTATTGTGACAAGCTTGCAAGATAAACTTTCTTTTATGCACTAAAAAAAGGCATACAATATTTTAACTAATCAGAAAATATTGACACCAAACATGCTATTAAATTAAACAAATTCAACAATCCAGAAGTATATAATATCATTAAAGTATTCAACCAGTTAAAGATTACTTCTTTGTTAATGATTCACAAAAATATGAACTGTGCAGTAAAATATATTAAAGGTCAACAATAACTTATGTACAATGAAGCCTTGCAAGAAGTGAATAATTCAGAAATAAACAATTACAAAAAAATATGACTATTAAACAAGCCTTGCTTTAAAATTAATATTAGTTAATTGTTAAAAATGTATAATACTAGATCATGCAGTTAAATATTGTACATCAACAAATATACTATTCAATCAAACAAGAATACGCATTTGTACAAGTTCCAGTAAGCACTAACAGTATGTAGAAATGAATATTCCTCTCATGAGAGCAAATAGTTAATGATGCATCAACATGTTAAATGACAGCTCAATTCTTCTTCACTAATTCCTAGTAGTAGCTTATATCAGTAAGAAAGTCACCAACAGTATCCTCAACTATCAAACCTAACTATGATTTATATGAAACCTTTAGTCTTCTTATATCATTCAATGACAAGAAAGTTACCAGCAGCATCCTCAACTATCAAACCTAACTATGATTTATAAGAAACCTTTTGTCTTCTTACATCATTCATTGACAAGAAAGTTACCATCAACATTCTCAACTATCAAACCTAACTATGATTTATATGAAGCCTTTTGTCTTCTTACATCATTCATTGACAAGAAAGTTACCATCAACATTCTCAACTATCAAACCTAACTATGATTTATATGAAACCTTTAGTCTTTTTACATCATTCAATGACAAGAAAGTTACAATGAACATCCTCAACTATCAAACCTATAGTCTTTTTACATCACTCAATGATAAGAAAGTTACCATCAACATCCCCCAACAATCAAACCTAACTATGATTTATATGAAACCTTTTGTCTTACATCATTCAATGACAAGAAAGTTACCATCAACATCCCCAACTATCAAACCTTACTATGATTTATATTGTTACGTATCTGCTTGTTTGATAATTTCCCGTATAATTTCTTTCCAATGAAACTTCAGCGATAAAAGTCCTTTCTTAATTAAAACTAGTTTATTCTTTCTCGTTAAAAACTTTGTAATACACTTAATTTCCACAGTCACTTTAACTTAGCTACAATTCACAGCGATTTACACACTTTACTTACGGCTTGACTCGATTATCCCCATTATCAATTTATCTGCCTGCTTATATACTAAAAAAAAAGGCGTCTAGCAAACACTGGGACATTCATGAGGTTCCCCGATCCTTCTAGAATCTTATCATGTGTTACCAGCATCACATGACTTCTGCTGTCATAACACTGCCCCTTCCTTAGTATTGTTCGTCCTGAACAATAGCCACTTACATTAAACCAATAGT